CAAATTCTGAGCTAGAGGTCCAGCTGGTGTGTTATGGCTCACGAGTGTACTGCAGATTGGTCACAGGCTGGGCCAGGATGAGCCATGCAAACATATGGGTAATTAAAATACAGCAATATTTCTGTATCACTGCCCGAGCCCCCTAAATGTCCCCTTCTACTGCCTGCCCCCCCACAAGCCCCTGGACCCCAGGAAGGACATCCTCATTATGTAATGAGGCAGAATGATGTTTGGTGTGGCCAGGGGCTTCAGCTCTTACTGGTTGGTACCTGCACTGTACCAGTTATTAGATATTTTTAATATCACCACTTCTTACTGCTGTGCTGAGATCATGATTCCCTTAGTACTTAGAACAGCCACATGGAATCAGGGAAGTCTGGAGGGCAAATTGCCTTTGGGGAAGAGCAACTTCTATATCTACTCTTCGTGTGTCATACAAATACCATTCTCTATACGAGCTCTGGCACAAAATATTTGGGAAGCAAAGCTCCAAGCCCCTCTCCTTCCTCAATTCCTCTGTGGGCATCTTCTCTGTCTCTTTGCCTGGCTTCTCTAACTATCAGAGTGACCTGCACCTTATTGAGCCACAGCCTTTTTTTCCCCATAAAATGCTGCTAATCACAGTCTGCTTTGCAGGAAGGATCACAGGTAACACATGTGACAGGCCCAGCGCAGGACCTTGCATGGAGTGAAGCCACATACGTGTGGGTACCTAACCCCATTGCCCTCTCACCCTGCACTTTCTCCCCTGTGGATTTCCTGCATTCCTGTGACCTTCACCTCTATTCTACCCCCAACCATTTCTTCCAGACCTGTTTGTCCAGGCTCTCCAGTCCCACACATTCCGTATGGAATTCATCCTTTCCCACCTTCCCTCCTAGTTCTCTCATCTTCCCAGTCTCTCCCAAAGACACTGACCCTTCTTCCCGTCCAGTGGGCTTCCTGTTAGAAAGCAGGCTTTGACCACACCCTCCTCTTCCTCAGACCAATCCACTCTCATATCCAGTCCATTCGACTTCTCATAGCCCCTCCTTCTATTGTTATACTGTAGCCTTGATCTGGCCCCCTGGTCCCCTTACCTGGAATCTTCCCACAAACTTATAACTGCTTTCCATCTCCGCAGTTCCTCCTCCCAACAGTACAACCACCAAACCCCTCCATCGATCTGTTCAAAACCCTGCAATGTCTCACAGTCACCTGCAGAAGGAGATCTAGACCCATTGCCTTTGTGTTCAAGGTAGTGCCAACCTACTCCGCACTCTTACTTCCCACCACGTGCTGCAATAATAACCACAGTGGAACAACAACTGACATTTCTTTAAGATTTACCATGTATGACTCAATATTCTAAAGTCACCTATGCCATTAAATCCTTTCATCCACCCCCAACATAGTCACTCTTATTATTCCCACTTTACTGAGGAGGAAATGGTGGTGCAGAGAGGTTCTATAACTGGCTTCGAGTAACTTTCCTATTCAGCGGGGACTTGAATTTAACCCAGAGAGTCTGCACCCGGAGCCCACCTTCCTAACCTCCATGCCTTCTTCTGCCGTGTGAAGTGGTCACACAGAAACTCTCCACGCCCCCAGACCCACTCAACTCTCCAGCCCGCCCCCACCTGGACTGTCCGTTTCCCGCATCTCTTTGCCTATCCAAATGCTGTCCATCCTTTAGGTGTTAAACTGCCAATACCTCCTTGAAGTCTTGTGATTTCCCCACTCAGACGTAATCTCTCTCTCTCTCTCTCCTGAAAATACAGAATTTTCTCAAACTTTCTACTTTTACCTTATTCTTTTATATACAGTCTTTTGAATACACGGCTGGTCGGCTCATGACATAGGATGGGGCCACCGCTGATCTTTCCCTTAATCCTGCACTGTACTTCTCACGGGGAACCCCCAAAGGTGGTTTTATTGACAAAATTCAATTATTGTCCTGCTCAGGACCAGGCATGAGTTGGTCTTGGCTCTGTTCTTTAAGTTCCTTTGAAAGAAAAGCCAAGGGCTTGATTAAGGAATGGAAAGAATTTCGTAGTCAGTCAATTCCTTCTGCGATAAATCTCTTGGGTGAAGGATGCTAAGGCAGGGACATAAATGACAATAGCTGTGCTTCCTCCGTTGACTGGATTATAAAAAAAACCACACGCTACGACTCTACGTTCCCAACAATGCATAAAAGGAGGCAGGGAGAGGTGAAGGAAGGGGAGACAATCTGGGATGAAAGGAAGGGATTTGCCTGGTCCGTTTTGGAGACGGAGATGGTGGTTTCCCTTACATTGATTCTCCTTAAACACGTTTACTTCCTAGCCGGTCAATTCTGCCACAGGCTCTGGAGTTAGAGTGCCAGGGTTAGAACTGCATCTCTGCTACATGTCAGCTCTCTGGCTTAGCAAGCTACTTGGCCTCTCTGTGTCTTGGTTTCCATACTGTAAAACAGGGATGACAGTACCTGCCTCATAGAGTTTTTATGAGAGTTAAATGAAGTGATCTTTATCCAGGGCAGAGAGGAGTGGCTGGCACAGTCCTGGCACTCTACCTGTGATATGCCTGATGGCAAGAAAGGAGACGGGGCAGGGGACAGGGTGATCTGGTGGAGCTCTGGAGGACCGTGGCAGGTGCCCGGGCAGAGCTAAGGGCTGTGATCCTTCCCAGATCTGCCTGGGCACTGGCCACAGCCCCTAGTGTTTTCTGCTTCAATACCGCACTTAAGATTCGCAGGCAGAAAGTCAGAGAAGTCAATGGCATCTGTTGTCTCCAGTCCTGCTTTGAGTGGCTGTTTTCTTTGTTGCTTTTCACTGGATCCCAGAGACCATGTATCCCCGACTCTGTCATTTTGGAGATGGAGAAACTGAAGCCCAGAGAAAGAAAGAGTTGCACAAGGTCACACTAAAGAACCCGAACCCAGTCCTCTCTCTTCCCTCCTGCTATCCTTTCTGCCATGGTGCCCCACATTCTAGAATCTCCTAACTTTGTGCCTTTGTCAGCGTGGTCCTCTTGGGCTGGAAAGCCCCCATGAAGCCAGCCCTGGCCATCTTGACCTTCTCTTTGCTGCTGTCCACTGCACTTCAGGCTGCACCAAGTAATGTGCCACTTAGTGCCACCAAGGCTGGTATTAGAGAGGCTACTTTGCACACAGGAGGGAGGCTGGGGTGTGGGCTCAGAAGATGGGGTTTGAAATCCAGTGCCCTCTGTCAATAGCTCTAAACTCTCTATCTGGGACTCAGTGTCTTTATTTGTACAATGGGGAGAATGATGTATTTCTTGAGATTGTTGTGATGAACAAGTGAGGTGGCATTTGGGAATGCTCTTTATAGACTGCAGGGCACAGTGCCAGCGTTGGTGTGTCTTTTCTCTCCAGGAAGAAACTCTGCCTTCTCCTTCCTTCTCTTCTCCTCTATAGTATTTAGCAAAGTGCTTGGCTAGAAGCTACTCAGTTCTGTTGATGGATGATGATGTCCCAGGATTGTCTGGTCCTTTGATGCGTCAGGAACCCACCCCCAGATGTGGTATTTGGGTAAAAGGGTGAAGCTGTGAAGGGAGCCTATGGGGCCCTGGGGGAGGGGAGAGGTAAACAGATGATGTAAAGTAAACTGGATTTAGAAAACAAACTGGAGCTAATGGCTGTAGGTGGTGTTAGTCATCCTGTTAAGGAATTTAGGAATACATATGCATACTAATAGGAATTTATTTTGGCTGCTTCTTACTCCAGCATTTGGGAAGGGAGGAGGGGTAGAGGACACTGCAGAATTAAAGGACCTCACACTTTGTCTCCAGAAAGCACACTCCAGTGCTGGGCCTCAGCTCCTGAGGATGTATTTGTCCCCAAGCCTGTGGGATGCATCTGTCCATGTTCTACAAGGCCCGTGGGATAAACGGGAGTCAGGCTGGATGCTGGTCCCCAGGGAAGCTGAGTGAACCCGGCACCAGGATTTAGGAGTGGCTCCTGGCTTCCAGTCCATGGGATAGGCTCAGTGAAGGGAGATCCCAAGGCCTTATGAGACTGTGTCCTGGCACTTCTCTCATGTCCCTGGCCCACAAAGTCACTCTTCAGGCCACAGTGAGCCCAGGGAAGCTCTGAGAAGCGTTTAGTGCACCCAGGCATCACAGACTGACTGCACCCCTTCTTTTATGGTGCGGGCTCAACAGTCCCCACCCTGTGAGTCCATAGCCTCCCACGCCTGGCTCTGTCCTGTCATCTAACCTGAGTTCCTCATGCTTTCTAAGCCAGTCCACCCTCTTCTTCACACTCCGTGAATACAGAGGAGGATGGTTCACCAACGTCATTGCACAGGGCCCTCGCGTGGGTTATCAAGGCCTAGGCCAACTCGGGTGAGTGCCCCTCCACTCTGACCCCTCCCGGGCACTCTGGCCAGACACTGTTATTCCATTTAGCAAGTGGGGACTGGGAGCCAGCCATACACCCAGTGTGCCGGCAGGGACTGGTGCTGGCAGAGACAGTCAGAAAGCCAAAGGATATATATGGACAACAAGGTCAAGAGGGTCGGGAGTGCCCAGGAGACAGGTGTGGCCTTGAGCAGAAGGTGAATCCTGACTGGGGCGGGGGAGCTTGGCCTTTGTTCAGACCAGAGTATTGGGGTTATATTCAAGTAAGGCCTCGATGTGTGGCATGAAGCACAAGGTACAGTCATTCTCTGTCACATAGAGACATAAAAGGGTGTATGAAAACATCCTTAGGCACCTGCTGGGAGCTCTCTGGGAGATCACTCATCTGCCCTGCACTTCAGTGCCTTGGCTCTGAAACTGAAACAAAGAAGTAGGTATTGTACAAGGAGGCTTAAAAATGTTCATACCCTTCAGACCAGCAATTCTACTTCAGGAAGTTTAGCCTGAGGAAAGAAACAAAAATGTGGGCAAAGACTTAGGTACAAAGATGTTCACCACAGGGTTATTTAGGAGAATGAAAATGTAGAAGGCAAGTGTCCATTATTAGACCGGTGTGTTTGTTCCCTCCCTCTCTCCCCCTCCTCTCTCTCACACAGACTGATGGGACCACCTCTATGGCAAGCCCTGCTCAACTCGGCAGTAAATAACTAGTACCAGTGGCCGGGCGCACTGATGTGCACCTACCCAGCCCTTCTGGGCTAGTTCAAGTAACCAAGAAACCTGCTGTTTCACCTTTCCATGATCAAGTGTGGATTACCTTCTGGGGATTCTCCCTGGGAAATGATGACCACAGTGGTTTTCTCTCAGCCTCCCAAGACATGTCTGGGTCCCCACCCTGTTCCATCTGCCAAGGTTGCTCAGGGGCTCCTGGAGCTGGAAAGGCTCTTGGAAAGCACCCAGACCAACTCCTTTGAGGGGCAGGGATTGGCCACTTTGCTTTTTAGTGCAAAGCCCTGCTGAGCAGCCAGGCCACCTGACTCCTAGCCCAGTGCTATTTGTGTTGGAGCAAATGTAATTAGAAGAATAAACCAGTTATCCTCAGAATACCCACGATCCAGGTCTCAGCTCTTCACTGAATATTCACATTCCTATCTCTGAGCTGGGAAATTTCTTGATGTAATACTAGGTTCATTCTGGGGCAGAAATTGGGCCATCCTTCCCACATCCCTCCTTGGCATCATTCTAATGCTTTATTGGTTTCCAAGAGCAGCTCCATTTCCGCTGTGGTGCCAGCCTGGTCTTCTCCCTGCCACTACATTCGGGTCCTCTCATGAGTGACTGTGGGCTGGGGCAGATAACCTAGCCCTCTGCCCCCACCCATAGGGGGAGTCCAGAGACTTGAGCCTGTAGTTCCTAAGCCCTCCTCCCCAGGAGCCCCCACCAATAGTATGTAAACCTGCAGCTAAGCAAAGAGGAAAACAGTGATTCCATGCTGTTCTCCCCTCCTTCCTTCCCCTTCCTCCTGCCTTTACATCCTCCCCAGCACCTACTCCATATGTCCTTCTGCTCACTTCCTTCCTCGTTCCTCCCCTTCCCATTTCTCTTCCCTTCCTCCATCTCCAACCTCCCGCCTCTGCCTGTCTTTTCTTGAGTTAGCTCCTTTCTCCCCAGGGCCAGCCCACCTTGATATACCTGCTGCATTCCACCCATGCCCTTGCCCCCAGGCTTTCCAATTCCCCACAGGAGGGTCTGCAGCTAGCCAATCTGGCAGCGTGCCTGGGCACACATGGGGAGGGTGCCCGGCACGTGAGGACGAGCTGCTTGGGCTTCTGCAGATATGCACCCACCCATGTGCACAGACACAGGACACAGGGTCTTATGTTACCAATGTATCCAGCTGAGCCAATCCTGAGCTGGAGAAACATATCCACATGCCACATGTGCCTCCCTGTGGGTAACTGGGACAGGTGCATGGGATGCGTTAGCCACCAGGAGAGGAGACATGGATTGAAACATCCTTCCTGCCCTGGATTTATCAGCTGCAGTACCAGAAGGGACCTCGAAATTCATTGCCTTCAATGGGAAAGGTGCACGTGTCCCTTGGGATCCCAGGAAGGCAGAGCACGGCTCTACCTTGCCCAGAAACTAGTTGTCTATATCTCAGTGGATAGGGAGGGTAACCAAAGAAGATGAGACCCTGGCCGGATACAGGTCTTCCGATTCTAAGCCCACGGTCAGCTATGAGTAGGGACTCCGTGTGCCCTGGACAAGTCGATTTGCTCTTGTGGGCCTCAGTGTCCTCATATGTCAAACGGGGGATTCTGGGACGATCGAACAAGCGAAGAGTTGTAAAGGTGCTGTGCAAACACTTGGTGCCACTGCACACCTCACGGATTTCTTGTAATAATCATGGAAAGTCAAAGCGCGTGTGTGTGGCGGGTGCACAGGGCACTCGCCTTCTCGTGCGTAGGTCCCTCGCTATGGGGCGGGAATCTAAACTGGGCCCCGGCACTGGGCGGGCACGATCCTCCCAGCCCCCACGCCTAGCCTGGGGCCGGCGCGGCCGGGTTTTCCTCCGGCAGGCGGCGGGCTCACGGCTGCACGGCGCGCTGGGCACGTGAGGCGGCGGCACCGGTGCCGGCTGCAGCGGCGCAGCCCGGGCCGCCCGGCTCGCCTTGCGCAGGGGCTGCCCGCGCCGCCGGGCCGCCGAGCACGCCCTCCCGGTTCCCGGGGCTCCCGACGTCCCCGCCACCCTCTCCGGCCGCGGCCCCAGGCCGTTCCCGCCCCTCGGTGCGCCCCCCCGCCACCTCTCCCAGGGCCGCGAACCCCGCGGTTCCGGCGGTGCTGGCCAGTGCGGAAGAGGGTGCGCTCGGCGGCGGGCCCCGGGCGGCGGGCAGGGACTGGACCGGCTCCTGCAGCTCCGCCGGCCGCCGCTGGGGGCTGCGCGCTCGGCGGGGACGGTGCGCACGGCCGCCGGGCTTTCTCCGCCGCCGGCCCTGCACTGCCTCTGCAGCCCGCCGGCTCCCTCCCGGACCGAGCCTGTGGTCGGGGGTGCGCGTGTGTTTGTGAGTGTGAGAGGCGGGTGCGCGCGTGTGCGCGCGCGTGGGGGGCAGTGTGCATGCGGGGAGTACGGGGGAGTGTGTTTGTGTGTGCGCGTGTGGGTGTGAGTGCCTGGCTTCCTCTAGCTGAGACACACACACTCGCACACACCCCGCCAGGCTCGTCTGAACTTGAAGACACCCCACATTCCAAGATGCCCGAGGTTCCTGGGAATGCCCCAGCTTCTTCGATCCGGAAAATCCTACCGGCATCCTCCTAGGGAGGGATTATCTTTTTTCTTTTTTTAATCTGGAAGAGAAGAGAACAAGTTGTGCTTTTCCCCCCTTCTTCTTGCTAAATACCGTGGATATAACTGAATAAGCGGCTCAGCGCTCTCCCGTGTGGACGTCCGAGGCCACCATCTGCCTGCGTTCGCCGAGCGGAGGGCTTAGCTCCAGCCGTCTCGGGCAGGGAGGATGCGCGGCCGAGCCCTGGAGCCCGGGCGCCCCGCGGAGCCGGCGTCGGTGCCTCCCAGCCGGGGGTAGATGCTGCCTCGCCCAGGTGAGTGGTCGCCGTCGCTGCGTCTCCGCAATCCCGGGTGTCCGCGGGAGCTCGGCGCGGGCAGAACGCACCGAGGGAAAGGGGAACTTTGCAGCCCTTCCCTTTCCACTTGAGGACTGCCCTCATGCTAGGTACCCGGCGGACACCCCTTCTCTTTCCGCCTGTGCTCACAGGGAGAGCTTTCCTTTCCTTCCTCCCCAACCCCCCACCCGGCAGTGGGGGTGAAACTCCGGCGAGAGGGGGAGAGCGGGTCGGCGTGGAGCCGGAGAGCCGAGGGAAAGACGGGGAGCCGCGGGTGGATGGAACCGTGGAAGCAGCAGGAGAACTTTGCTGCCAGACCACTCTGTTGCATCTCCGCACATGCGAGGCCTGGCTGGAGCCATTGCTGGGGACTGGGTGGGGGCGCGGAGGGCTCCCTGAGCTGGGCGGAGTGGGGTAGAGCCAAGTGCAGAGGGGTTGGTGCAGGGCGGCTGGAGGGAAAGAAGGCATGGTGGCAGTTTGGATAAGTGGGTAGGGCAGGCTCAGGGACCCTATCCTGGCCTCAGGCAGAAAGGACAGATTAGGGGGGATTGTGTGTGCGTAGCCCGGGGCATCAGAATGGCATGATGAAGCATTATGGAAACTGGCGTTAGCCATGCCCGGGCTGGTAGGTCTCTGTGTCCCACCCAGCCCTGGCCTGGTTCTAAGGTTGGCCGAGCAGGGAGGAGGGAGAGCAGTGGACAGTGCCGAGGCTGACAGTGCCTTGCTTTGCACAGATCTTCCCAGGGAGGTGTCCTGCCGGTCTTCGTGTCAGCCCACTACAAAGGACATAGGCAGTGAGTTCCAGGGAGACAGACGTAGCCCCTGAAAGCCAAAGCTGGAGAGGCAGGAGGGAGCCTCAGCTGAGCCCGCGGAGGGACTGAGCCAGCCTGATGTCAAGTGCGGCCAGAGACAGCGGCAGAGGGACAGACAGACTGACACCTGCAGGGAGAGGGAGTGTGTCAGAGCCTGAGCTCCCAGCTGGAGTTACAGGCATGGCTGTAGGTGCCCAACCTCTGCCCTGGACACAGTGGAGCGTGTGTGTGTGTGTGTGTGTGTGTGTGTGTGTGTGTGTGCATTTCAGGGAGGTGGGAGCTGTGGCCTCCATGGCCTGATTGGCCTTGTAGTGCTGGGGGAAGGGGTGGCTGCAGGAAATCGACCCCCGTGGCTGGGGAGGGGCAAAGCTCAGGAGGAAAGCACCATTCTCTGGGCTGTGAAGTTCCCAGGGACCTGGGCTAGGGGTTCTAGGCGGGCTGTTGCGGGGCCGATTTGGAACTCCTGACGGGGGCTGAGGCAGGGATCGTGGGGACACTGGGAATGAAGGGACCAGGTCTTGGGATTGTGCCCTGGGCTGGTCGCTGGCCTCTGTGAAGAGCTTTATACAGTCACATGCAGCGGGGTCCGGAGGGCAGTGGGACTTGCTTTTGGGGTATGCCAGAAGCCGAAGGGGGTCAGTGCCATGCAGGGAGGACTCACAAGCTCCTGAAGGCCTGCACTGGGAGCGTCGGCCTCCGCCGACCATGCCAGCTGCCTGGGCCCTTCTGCTGACGCTGGAATGTCGTTTTCCTCTTCTGACTCTGGCTGGGAGTGCGGAGTTTCATCTTTCTCCCGGCCTCTTCACGTGCTTCTGCTCAGTCCTCTGCCCAGCCCTCAATTAAGTTTCTGGTCTAATTCCTGCCCGGGAATATAATTACTTATCTTCCTGTCCTTGCCCGGGGGATGCAAACAGCAAACTTGGCATTTCTGTTTCAGTCCCTGGAGCTGCTTGTCTGGGAGGTCAACTCCCAGCTCCGTCTCCTGTGGGGCGGGGAGGGGGGGCATTGCGAGTCGCAGGCTGGGGCGTGGGCTCACTTCTCTGAAGTGCCACTTCTTTCCCCAGACCCAGAAATGTGAGAAGCTGGGGAGTGTGGCCTGAAAGAGGGCACAGGGGTGCTTCTAGGAGGCCAGGCTGAGGAGGAGGAGGAGGATGGCTGGGATGGGAAATGCAGATGGGGTGGGTGGGGCCACTGGGGAAGCCAGGCAGCCTCCTGGCCACCCAAGCCCTGGTTTGGCTAAAAAAAGAATTGTCTTTCTTTATCTGCTGCAGCTCCAAAGGAAAATCGAGGACCCAGGGGTTTGGGCCTCCAAGTGCCAGCTTGCTAAGCCTCTTCAGCCTGTGGGGTGGGGCAGGTTCTACTCTCCTTTGTGAGGGGGAGGGGGTACAGAGGCTCCTAAGATCCTAGGTCTGTCTGCTCAGGTACAGTTGAGAAGTGGAGTGGGGATGAGAATTGTTTTCAGAAAGTGTTGTGTTCTAAGGTAGACATGCGCATCTAGGGAGTTCACAGTCCGATGGGGGGGCGGCTGTTAGACTGAAAGCAGAGACAGAGTAAAGCACAGCCAGAGATGACCAAGTGGAATTGGACTCTGGACAAGAGCAACAGCAATTTTAGCGTTTCGTGAATTTTCTTTGGGCAGGGCTGGAGTGTTAGGGTCCAACTTATTGAAGGGATAGTGTTGTCATATAAGGAAGGGAATCCTAAATTTGGAGAGTCTGGGTTCAAATTCTGACTCTGCCACATCTCTGTGAATCGCCGAGTCTCCACGTTCTCATCTGGTGAAGAGCAATAATAGCATGTGCCCCACAGATGTGTTGTGACCTGATGTTTTCCTGGCAGTCCTCAAACCCCTTTTCAGATCTGGGGGAGTGTTCAGCTGGAGGGGGAGGGGAGGGGTGTGAGAGAGGAGGAGGTCTTCAGAGAGTGGAGGAAAGTACCTCTAGCTTCCCCCTGCCCAGGGAGCTGCCAGGAGGGTTTGATGCATCACACATGAGCTTGTTAAAAGACTCCAAGAAGCCCTCCTGAAAGCTTTGAGAATTAATAGCCAAGAAGCAAATTTCACTTCTGGGGCCCTGGCCCCTGCTTCCTTTCCTTGCTCTTGTTTGCTTTGGATTTTTATGGCCACATACATTTGCTCAGGATCGGGGGGCTCAGTGTTTTGTAAGTGTCACCTATCCCCCTTTCCTGTCTGAGGCTTGAGTCTGAATTGTCCCCCAGAACACAGCCCCTGCCCGCTGGTCCTTGGTTCTGCTTCCTGTTCCCCGAGGGTGGCCTCACAGGGATGCAGTCAGGCCCTGGCCAAGCGAATGGACACAGCTCCTCCTGGGGGCTGTGCAGGGCTGTGACTGAGTCTGGGTTCTGTCTGTGGAGTTTGGGGGGTGGGGCACACCGAGTTTGGGAGAGGGGCTCAGACCCAGATGTGTATTTAGCAGATGCTCTAAGTAATGAACCAACTGGAACAGGGGAGTGGAGGGAGGTCTAACCATAATGGGCAGGCCTTTAAAATGGTATTTTTCAGGGAGCAGGAAATCAGGTCTGAATCTCAGGATGGTCAGGGCAGGTAGCCATGTCTGGTTGGTTCAGGATGTGGGTAATCAGGAGGGCTTCTTGGAGGAGGTGAGGATTTCAGGAACAGCAAAATCCCATTGAAACCAATGGAAGGTGGGTTTTGTTTTCTCTTAAATTCTCAGAGGTTGCTGGGAATTTGGGGAGTTTCAGATAGGGCACTGAGGAAGTAGAATTATGTTCAGAGAAATTTGTTCGGCTATCAGGATCGGCTCCTTCAAACAATTTTTTCATTGCTGATCATGTGCCAGGTACAGTGCTAAGAGCTTCACATTAATAGCTCATTGAATTCCCAGTCCTGTGAAATTGCCAGTTATTACCTTCCCTTTACAGATGAGAAAACTGGGGTTCAAAGAAGTTGGATACCTGCTAGGTAGCTAGTAAGTGGCAGAGCTGTCACTCACCTCTCATGTCCAGCTGACTTCAAAGCCCACTCTCCTGGTTCCTCTGTGCTGCTTCTCTCCCCCAAGGTGGGGGACAGTGGGCGTCATGGACACGCACCCCTCTCAGCCCCTGCTGGCCTCCCAGCCTGGCTGGAAAGGCGATGTCAGAGCTTCCATCAGAGAGCCCCTGCCAGCCCAGCTGTCCCCGTGGGTGTCCCTGCCTGCCCTGCCCACTCAGGCCATGGGTTTACGAGCTCCAGCAGGCAGCACAGCTCCTCCCCAAATTAGCCCTGGGAGTGGGACGGCAGGTGGGGCAGTGGAGTGAACGCTGGACTTCAGGTCAGGGCACCTGCTCTTCCTCCTGTGTGACTTGGGTGGGAGGCAGATCTCTTTACCACCCCCGCCCCCCCAGACCTGGTTTCCTTGTTGCTGGCAGAGGAAGCTAATGCACAGCCCACGGGGTTGATTTAGGGCAGGGCAGCCCATGGGAACGCACTTCATACACTGGACAGGCCCCTCAGCACTCAGGGCTGCTCGTGACCCCTTCCTTGCTTATGCTAAGTCACTAAAATATCAAACGTAATAATACCCAGGTACAGGGGCATTTAAGGTGGGCTTTTGGGGGTCTGTTTCACGTCACCTCCTAACCAGGCAGGTGACACTGTGCCTTCGGGGAAAGGGGGTGGGGAAGGACCCGCCGCAGAGGCGCGCTTGTGGTCTAGGTGACTGGGTGGGATTGATGCAGGCAGCTAGGGAGGAGCACAGTGGCACATGTGTCATTTACTTTTGTGATCAGGCGGCCACCATTGGAGGAAAGGGCAGAGGGGTGGCAGAGAGGGCATTCTACGTAGGTCAGTCTTTCTTGACCTTTTGCTCACTATTGCTCCCTTGAAAGATCAACGATGAAAGAGCTTTTTAGACGCTTTTTCCTGACCACACCCATGCAATTTTAATACTACAGCTATATGTAATTTTAATACTACAGCTATACAGTACATCGGTTTATATACTTCTGTGTATTGTGCTTTATATATCAAAGGATTAAGATTTTTTTTTCTTCTCCCCACTAAGAACAAATGTTTGCCCCTTGGGGGCGATATTGCCCCCGTTGAGAGTGCGTGCCTTAGGGCCAACAGACTGGGAGGAGAAGATTCAGGACTTGGTGAGGCGGACAGGTGCACTAGCACCTTGCTGCCCCAACTGTGGTCCATGGACCAGC